CTGTCTACCATGCCCATGGTCTTGGCGCGGCTTGGTAGTGTCGTGGCTGGCTGATCGTCCCTACGTGTTAGTTAGTTCTCCAAAACCTGACTTCTCTCTGTGCTTTGGGTCCGAGGTACGCCTGTGTGGAACTACCAAGAGGCGCACATATACGTTGTGCAAACGGGGTGGCGGAGCCCTCAGGTCCGATAGTAAAGGAACAAAGGAAACTACAAAGCCAAAGGCCAAACGGACAAGTCCGCTTGAGCGGTAGCGGAACTGCTCTAAAGAAAGTCTATTCAAGAAACCTAAAGAGAATCTCCAAGGACCTAATACTTATAATTATAATTATAGACATTTGGCCAAGTCAGCGAACTAATACTTTAATATAGTTATAGTAGCTGAAATCTACAGTATGCGAGCGGCCACGAAGGGAAGGATCGAACAGGCAGCAGTGAACGAGTAGTGAGCTGTGCTAAACTCAAAAAAGTAATGATGAATCGAAGGCTTCAAGCAACAAAGCGGAACAGCAGAACAGAGGACCGGCAACAGAGAATAGCTGACAGTTCCGTGGTAATGAATAGTCTAGTCTAGGTCGGGCGACAGCAGAGGTTAGCTTATCGTAATCAAATGGAACACTAGTGAACATTATGGGAAACTGTGGTAGAGGTAGAGGTAGGTGACAGGCTGACAAGATAGTGAATGTGTGCAGCACTACACTACAGTGGTATCACTATAATACCGTAATAGTACTTAGTAGATCTACTAGTAATAGTATCACAGTGAGTAGAACTTTCTAGACAGGGCCATGACTGAGATCCATACCGATACGACTGCTCTCTATGTAGATCTACGGAGAGTCAGGACTGGTTCGGCCTCTTTTTCTCTGTGCTGCGCTGATGCTTCCACAAAGCCTCAATAGTCAGGGAGCCGACCTTCAAAAAAGTGGCGCTCCAGGTCGGGCGAGATGGAGTACAAGATCTCTTCAGCAATGGGTTATGGGTCTATCAGAGAAGGGCTTTCGAGTTCTTGGCCATCCCAAAGCTGTGCACGGACATCGCGAGGACGCATTTTGTTCGACGATCAAATTCACAATTGTCAAGCATTTAGGCGCAAATGTTTTTCGTTCTCAGCCGACTTCTCGGTTTGAGAAGTAGGTGCGCACGCTCAAAATTCCAAATCAGTGACTATGCGCCTGTCCAGAAGATGACGACGCTGCAAGCTTACTTTCTCAAAGCGTGACATACATTTTCATAACGATTTTGGCTTTGAAAGTGAGAATAGTATTGCCATCGTCAGGTCCACTAGTCACGAAGCATGGCGCTTCTGGACAAAAGCGCAACATAGAGTGTGTACCAGCAATAGTGCACAATAATACTCGCGCCTACTCCGGCAATTCTGCAACGCGTGCAAGCAAAGTTTCAAAAGTATATTTCCAGGTCTGACTGAGGTCGAGCGAAGATTCCGGCAGAGTAGGCGAGATGTTGCTTGCTGACAAGTCGGCCTCCGCGTCCCTGAGTCCTGACTGCCAGTGCCACAGCCGTATGCACCAGTCACCGGACGTGCAAGATCATCATCACCCATGTCGGTACTCTGCCTGGCCTATTTAGTATATATCTGCTGGTGGTGTCAACTCCGTTGCAGTTTGCCAGCTTGTTTGTTCCGGTACTCGTTCTTCACTGGTTCAGGTGAGCCTAGCTGCTTTTGCACAAAATACTTTGTGGATCCTGTGAGAGATCATGTAACTCGAAAACGAGACGTTGTTTGAAACAAAGGTAGAATGACAATCACTGCCAGTTCCGCATGCACTTCTGACAGGAACTACGACAGACGTCTACGTGGCAGCACCAAAGGAGAGCATGGGATAGGCAACATAACAAGATAGAACATACATGCGCGCACGTGCATGTGTACACGCGCGCACGCCCACACACGCTTGCAAGCGTGTACTCACATGTGTGCGAGTGTGCATGAGTGCACACACACGCACACACACACACACACACACACACACACACACACATGTGACTCTCTGTTCGCACACACACACACATACATGTGTGCGACATGCGCGCATTCATCACACACGCGTGCGCACATACACACAGGTGGATGCGCACATGCCAATGCTCACACGCATACACGTGTACATGTGCACGCACACACACACGCGTGCGCGCTTGCACGCACATACACACAGGTGGATGCGCACATGCAAATGCTCACACACACACATGTACATGTGCACGACACACGCGCGCGCACACACACAGGTGGATGCGCGCACGTGCATGTGAGCGAGCTTGTGTACACGCGCGCACGCACACACGCTTGCAAGCGTGTACTCACATGTATGCGAGTGTGCATGAGTGCACACACACACACACACACATGTGACTCTCTGTTCGCGCGCGTGCGCACACACACACACACACATACATGTGTGCGAACATGCGCGCATTCATCACACACGCGTGCGCACATACACACAGGTGGATGCGCACATGCAAATGCTCACACACACACGCATACACGTGTACATGTGCACGCACACACACGCGTGCGCGCTTGCACGCACATACACACAGGTGGATGCGCACATGCAAATGCTCACACACACACATACACGCATACACATGCACATGTGCACGACACACGCGCGCGCGCACACACAGGTGGATGCGCACATGCAAATGCTCACACACACACGCGCATACACGTGTACATGTGCACGACACACGCGCGCGCGCGCGCACACACACACGTGGATGCGCACATGCAGATGCTCACACGCATACATACATATAAACACACACACTCATGCACGCGCGCGTCATTATCTACGAATCTCAGAAACATGCAACACGCGGCCAGAAGTTAATCATCACCAGTGAACTTGCTGTGATTGTGGTACCAACAACATGCTGTGCAAGAACGTCACCATCATCGGCTGCTCTGAGGTAGCATTCCAGAATGGCAATTTACAAAGCCGCTGTCTAGTGCCCTACTATCATCTCCACGGAGCAGCAGTCGGAACCCAGGAGATAACTGCTCGGCATAGCTGCAAACATCGCAAAGGTTACAGCACTGGATGCTTCTAGTGCAACGGGTCACCCCAACCCTGTACTATACTTGCTGTTGCATGTCCGAATGTGACAACCCAATCATTAGCGCCCATGTTCTGGACCGTCACTAACGCTTCCGCCCAGGGCCTTATTACGGGCTTTTACGGTACTCGCCGATGCATGTCCGAATGTGGCAACCCGCTCAGCAGCACTACACATGTGAGCAACAAGTGGACGTCGTTGGCAGCACAGAGCAGAGGATCGCAAACCGGATGAAGAATGGATACTGTTCTCCATGATGAAGGGATCAAAAACCGTTCAACACAGATATTGCGCTACATCGTCTTGCCTGGATGTATGCGGTGGTGCCGATGCATATCGCGTCCATGACACTGTTTACATATCTGCATTCAGCCTTTGTTCACATAAATATGATGCACCGTAGCTGTAGTTTTAACATGATTATATTCTACATGTTACCGCCACATTTACTGATTGCGTTTGCGGAAATTCCTAAAATATACTACGTCTACTACTACTCAATTTACCACACAAAGGACTGAATGAAGTAGGGAAATAATCATCCCATGATCTTCTACAATGTGAATGCTTCCACGTACGCGCATGTCATTGTGCAGCATCCGAAACTTCAACAAAACAATGATTCAAAAAGACGTTATTCAAGATAAGTCATGCATTTCTACGTTCACTGGTATAATCAAAGATTCCGTTCAAGGCAGCTGCCATGGTGTGTACCTTACCACCTTTAACACACGTTGTCAGTCCGCTCATTGACTAGCAGGAAATCGTTTGTAGCAGGAGTACTCTTGTTTGTAGTGAGGATCAATCTACAAAACACTATTGGTAAAAACAATCCAGAGTCACCTCGATGGAGACGGACAGTTCCTACGAGACCTGCCTGTCGACATCAGGGTCAAGTGGCAAGTCATTTAGCCGTTACGCACGACAATCTCAGGAACACCAGTCATGTCCTCCTCCGACGAACCAGCTACTGTATGTTACTTCAGAACTCAGAACGACACAATTATACAAACAGAATGAAAAATACTTCATCGACGGTGTGACTTTGCGTTTCGCTTCGTGTTTCTTTGTGTTTCTCTTGACAATCTAGCAAAATTGAGCCATTCGCATGAAAATGTCTGGTTACGTCAGCGAAACCCGCTGATTTTCCCCATTTTTCAAGCGCTGAATGGCGCAAAAACTGTGAAATCACGGCAACGAAATAGTGTTCGACGAGCGAACAAACCTCCTTGCACAGGCATTGGTGCACAGCTTCGGGACGGCCAAGTTCTCAAATCGTCCTCTAGAGACCCTTACCTACCTCTGTGCGAAGTTTCAAGTCCTCCCTCTGAAGTGGCATACCCCGAAAATAAAAAGCATCCTACAGATTTCAGCTCCCGGACTACAAAGGACTATAAACAGTTCGGTCCGCAGATCGAGAGTCAGCGACTCAGTACATGTAGATCTAGAGAGTGCAGTACTCAGCCAGTACTGGCAGTAGAGACTAGAGCCGAGGATAGAGCTAGCTAGCTACCGTCCGAACCAGGGAGTCGTCGTCGACTCCCTGGTCCGTAGTTGCTGCTGCTGAGGAGTTCCGGCCGTGTGGTGATGACCCCCCAATGATGACAGAGCAAACGGCCAGTGTGCACAGAAGCCATTCGATGATGACTTCTTGATTCTTGCTTTTCAAACGCTCAAGAGGTCTCTTGAAAGTAACTTTAGTTTCAGCGCAGTCGTCTATCGCGCAGTCTCTTGCCTAGCCTGGCCAGCCAGACCTGGGAAACATCTTCATTGAGTGCTTTCGAATTCCAGTGTTCAAGAGTTCAACTTCAAGCAAAAATGAATCAATCATTCTTCGCATTGCAACTAACAGGCGATGACTGCCTCAGCCACTGTTCCGTACACACAGCATTTCCGCAAGTGTGCGCCGGCTATGACTTGCCACTTCTGCACGTAGTTCCAGTTTCAGACCCTCGTGGAGATCGAGAGAAGACCGAGTTAGAGGAGAAGTGCTCCACACTTCACTCTCAAATCCCAACATTTGTTGGGCGGAGAACGTTGGAACTTGGCACATTTGGGAAACGTTTTGTTTCACGAACTCCTGTGGTGGAAAGCTGGCGAAGAAGACACCACCATCGCAAACAACATGGCAGGTGCGCTTCAAGAAGCGCTTGCCGGCCTTCTCTTCGTCCTGACGCTAACCTTTAGCGGGTGTCAAGCGAACGGCGCCTTGGTATCCTGCGCTGATCCTGAGGCGGCTGCTAACACGACATGTCCGACCGGCTACAACTGCACGCTACCTGACTCGATACTGATTACGTTCGGCATTCAGGGCCGCTGTGCTTCCCTGGACCTTTGCGGCACTGTGGCGCAGCTCACTCCCTTAGAGGTGGAAATCGGAACAATGGTAAGACATGTGTGCCTCGCGGTCGCAATGTTGAAATATGTCCCTTTTGAGTTTTGTTTTCTTCTTTGAAAGGCCGATCGCCAACGACAGCGACAACGCAGCGAGAGATCATTCGACAAAAGTCTCCTTGGAGACAAAAATCCTGTCAAGTGTATCACGTTTAGAAAGGGGACACCCGCTTCAGGCTCTTCATCAGCAATCTGTTGAACGTTTTCCACAGAGATCACTGTCATACCTTTATCGCCATCGTCTTCGACCTACAAGCACAACGGTCTAGACAGACTATCAACTCCAGTTGTTGTGGTTCGGAAATAATCGGAATCCTAAGGATCATCATCGAAGTGCTAGTAGCGTCTTGTATATTGCACTTGTACATGAGCAAACGAAGTGAGCGGGTGTGGAGAAAACGACGTTACGTTGGTTATAGAACAACGGAAGGAGATCGCCTAGTGCTGTCCAACTGTGCGGGTCATCGATAACAGAGAGATATAGGTGTAAGAACGACACGCAAGGATTCATGTAGATCTAACAGCAGAGCGACGCCATGAGGAGAAGACGATTGTGGCACAGTGCATTGATATTCCGCGAGCCGCCTACGCTAACGGGTTGTGCGCAAAGGCACACACCTCAATCCTCGGCTCATGTCCTAATCCCTCGCTGTACATGTCCTAATCCCTCGCTGTACATGTGTTAGCATCACTTCAGTGTATTCAGTTAGTGTACTTTTCAAGTAATTAGTTGATAGCAATACTGCACAAAAATGAACACACACAGCCAGGGAATGAGGATGTGTTTTGGGAAGTATCCTGGTTCCCTACAACTGGCTGGGGAACATTTGGGACCAATGCAAGTTAGTTTACTTGATCAACTAACTGATCTGTGAGAGGGGTCCATCCTTGAACTTGGAAGTGCAGTGTGCTCATGATAACACCACCCTGGCAACACACAGTTCAGGGTGGTAAAATAACAACTCTCTGCCCTCCGCCTAACGCATGAAAGTATCAGTGCATGACTACAATCAGTTCATTCTTGCAAAACTTACACCCTAACGTCATTGTGGTGTATTGCACGACTAGTGGTAGATATTGTGAAAATGTGCATGACCTCCATAGAGTAGTATATAGTGACCATGATTATAGTGACTTGTGCAACTCTTCCTTGCCACTTTGGATGCCGGAATAGCCAAAAGATAGAGAGTTTGGCCAGGTTTTACGAAATAGGAACTGGTAAACGATGTATAGAGAAGCAGATCCAAAATCCAGGTTTTCAATCACCAGGCGATTCTGTTATCCTATCCTGGATTTTGAGAAGATAGGATCGAGGAAATAGGGCTATAGTATGCTTAATCTGCTTTTCCAGACCTTTTGCCGTCCAAAATTTGTAAAATCTGGCCGAAACTCTAACGCCCTGGCCTTGGACTTTTTCGGCCCGTGAAATGTGGCAATGAAGAAGTGCTCGTACAGTAGCTGTTATCCTCACTATAATAGTACCTGGCAATATTATTATGTGCAAGAGATACCAACTGGCAGGGTTTTTTTTAGGAGTCCTGCTAAACCTCCTCGGAACTGGTGAGACTCTCGCTGCTCAGCCTTGGTTGGTTCTATTCACACCTGGCATCGCGTGACACACTGGATTACAGACCCCAAATGCTACCTTCACTGCTGATTTGCTGATACTTATTTCATTCTTTCTTCTAACGCTGCTGAGAACTCTACGGAACTGGCCATGATTAAAGAAGGATAGCCTTACAAAGAATTTAACTTGTGTTGTGCGCTCTCCGAGTATCTTCACTCAATGGCGGGGTGTACGGGGACACACTTCGCAAGTATACCCTGAAAGCAGCCAGGTCATTTAAAGCTTGTTATGCCCCCGGCACATTGGTTTTGCTTAGTGTTGGGACGCAGTGTATTTTATGTTTGTACACAGTGTATTTCATGTTGTTGTTGTTGCTGTTGCTGTTGCTGTTGCTGTTGCTGTTGCTGTTGCTGTTGCTGTTGTTGTTGTTGTTGCTGCTGCTGCTGTTGCTGCTGCTGCTGCTGCTGCTGCTGCTGTTGCTGTTGCTGTTGCTGCTGCTGCTGTTGTTGTTGTTGTCTTGCAGGTTGAAGTAGTTGGCGATGCATCTATCAGCTTCCAGACTGGCGGTATGCTGGATATCTTCCTGGTTTCCAGTGCAGAGGCCTGGCTAAGCTGTAATGTAACCGGGGCACAGTTCATTGTGGATCAAGGTAGGTGATGACGTCATGACGGTCATTATTATGACATCATGAGTCACAGAGTCACAGTGCACGTTTCATGCTGTCATCATGACAATGTCACATTCACATGATGTCATGTTGACACTGTCACATTCCCATGATGTCATGATGACACTGTCACATTCCCATGATGTCATGATGACAATGTCACATTCACATGATGTCATGATGACAATGTCACGATGATTCCATTATCATCATGACAATGTTATCATTGAAACGTTCTGTGGGCGGCGCGTGCATGCTGTAGCCCACATGACGTGAGGGCAGCATACCATGGATGAGGCGAATGGTTTTGTGTGCATCAGATCTGTCCACCAGTACGGCATCAGGAACTGCACGTGAACTTTTGAGGGTGGCGGTGTTTCTACAGATGTGTTAATGCAAACTGACTGGTTGACTCTCACAGGCTACCTTAAACGGAATGCATCCGTACAGTGTCACGTCAGCGTTCAGTGCTCGTCACAACATTATTGTAGTAAAATCGGAGTAAACGCTTGTTCTGCTTGCCTGTTCTTTAGACCTGCTTGCTCCATCCGTGCGCATCGATCAGTACCTGTCGGCCGGCCCCAACTACCTGGTCGCCTCCGCCAACCGCAACACGCTGCAGTCGGAGTGCCGCTTTGGCCAGCGCATCAACGTCACGCTGACCACGCGCTGCAGGACCAGCGCTGGGGGACCGGTGTGCTCGGGGAGGGCACCGTGCGTTGTCGGCGCAGGCTCTGTCAACTGCGAGTGCCCCGTGGGTTACACGGGTGAACAGTGCGAGGAAATCAACGAATGCTACGCGGATATTCTCGGCCAGTCGCCGTGCCTGAACTCTGGACAGTGCCAGGACGGCAACTGCTCCTTCACGTGCGATTGTCCGCCAACTTACACTGGACCAATGTAAGGTTTCAACTTACACTGGACCAATGTAAGGTTTCAGGCTTTGAGCAAACAAAACTGACAAGGATATTGAGACATTCGACATTCGACGACCTGACACCGTCGAATGTCTCAATATCCTTGTCAGTCTGTGCCATGTTGTTGCACTATCTGACTGTATAAGATCTCGTTACCTTGGTGGACTGTTGGTCATAACTCGTAACTTGTTGGTCCTTTCTGTTTACTAGGGATAGTGTCAGGGTTAGGGATAGGGTCAGGGTTAGGGTTAGGGTTAGGGTCAGGGTCAGGGTTAGGGTTAGGGTTAGGGTTAGGGTTAGGGTTAGGGTTAGGGTTAGGGTTAGGGTTAGGGTCAGGGTCAGGGTCAGGGTCAGGGTCAGGGTTAGGGTTAGGGTTAGGGCCCAGTTACTTAGGTTTAGGGTCACGGTTAGTGCGTGGTATATGCTAAGGTCATGCGTTAGGGTTAGGGTTAGTGCGTGGTATATGCTAAGGTCATGCGTTTAGGCTCAAGAGGTGCAGGCCGGTATACACTGTAGTTCTAGTCAACGGACTGACTGTCGGTGTTACGTCATTGTACATAATCTACTAGAGGTGAAAAGACGCTACATACATGGAATGCAGAGCTGCGAGTTTAGCAGCGAGATGGGCCTGGAAGCGGTGATAGGTTACGAAACCGATGAATTTACGGAGCTTGCGGATACTATCTGGTTTTGGAAAGTCGCGGATGGCGGCCTGGCGAGCGTCGAGCGAACGAATACCATGGGTAGGGTCAAGGTTAGGGGTACGGGTAAGGTCAGGACTAGTGTTAGGGTCAGGGTTAGGGGAACGGTTAAGGTCAGGATTAGGGAGGGTTAGAAGAGCCACTTTACGACTTACGAAATGCAATCAAAACCACTTCAAAACCACTTGAAAGGTCACCTCCAGGGTCAACTTTGGTCTAGAACCCCCCCCCCCCCGTATTACCGCTAATTCTAGTGTGGGTGTATGTGGGTGTGGGTGTGGGTGTGGGTATGGGTATTTGTGTTTGTGTGTGTGTGTATGTGTGTGGGTGTGGGTGTGACTCTATCTCATTTGCCTGCTGCCTATCGCGCACGTGCGTTATTTTTCTCCTCACAATCACTTTCAGCTGCGAGACGGCAATCGATCCATGTTTAGGTTTCACAGCCTGTCAGAACGGAGGAACGTGTTATGTCGGAGTGAACGGCCCGGCCTGCCAGTGCCCTCTCGATTTCACAGGTCAGTGGTTCTTATGCCCAGGTCAGTGGTGCTAATGCCCAGGTCAGTGGTGCTAATGCCCAGGTCAGTGGTGCTAATGCCCAGGTCAGTGGTGCAGTGGTGCTAATGCCCAGGTCAGTGGTGCTAATGCCCAGGTCAGTGGTGCTAATGCCCAGGTCAGTGGTGCTAATGCCCAGGTCAGTGGTGCTAATGCCCAGGTCAGTGGTGCTAATGCCCAGGTCAGTGGTGCTAATGCCCAGGTCAGTGGTGCTAATGCCCAGGTCAGTGGTGCTAATGCCCAGGTCAGTGGTGCTAATGCCCAGGTCAGTGGTGCTAATGCCCAGGTCAGTGGTGCTAATGCCCAGGTCAGTGGTGCTAATGCCCAGGTCAGTGGTGCTAATGCCCAGGTCAGTGGTGCTAATGCCCAGGTCAGTGGTGCTAATGTCCAGGTCAGTGGTGCTAATGTCCTATTTTCCGGAGTTTAACCCTTTAACCTTTTACCGGTCTACCATAAGCGAACCGATACTATAGTATCGGTACGTTTGGCCCTCATTTTTTTGGGGTCTTGTTGCTAGGAGACAGCTAAAATGGCGCTCTATGCGTAGCTGAGGTCCAAGGCTTTCTGACGATGTACAAAACAACCATGCTTACCATACAAATTTTTGCCGTATCGATCGACTGAAGTTTGTTGAAATTGGAAAAGACGACCATCCGCCATCCGTGCATTTAGAGAATGCGAGTGCATCTCTTGGGGCCGTGTTTGACAAGCGTTCTGAGAGCAGTAACACCACCAGTCCAGCCTGGATCTCCCGGGAGGTTTTGCAGTGTAGTGTGTTGAGAAAAAAAGCTCCGTTGAGTCCTGCTAGTTCAAAAATATATCGTCCACGAATGAAGAAACAAAATTCTCCAAACAGAGAGGAAGCCTTCTTGCTGCCGACACGGCGACAGCGACTGTCACAAGGACTCGTCAGGTGTGATCAGCTGATTCGCCTGGCCGTGAGAATCACGGCATGCGTAAGCTCGCGCCTGAGTGCTCATCTGAGCGAGAGTGAATCTGACGCGAGCAGCGCTGAGATGAACAAACCGAAGCTGCGATGTCGTGGAATGGGAATTGCTGCTGCTGGCGTATCGCCGATGGCGAGGTGTTGGTGTTCAATGGCGGTATTGTAGAGAGCCTACATTTCTTGTAAAGACGTAGCCCTTACCTGATTGTTTATCGTACGACTTCAGCTCCATCACGAACTTGGTATGCCCTTCGTGCTGTGATATTCGTGTATTTCATTCGCAATGGTATTTTCTCTCAACTTGAAGGGCTACCATGGGCCCTATCCTTGCTTGGACCTAGTCATATTTGAATTTTCTGGACGCGTTCAGGCATACAGATTTTGAAAATATATGGTTTACCCTTACCTACATCACATGGTTCTTGAGTTATTGCTGGTAGTATGTACATGTATTTGCGTGACCACCCCTCACATACATTGAGTTAGACCGGCAAAGGGTTAAGAGCCACAGGAAATGTTCAAAAATCTGCATTTTTTCGTGTTCCTCGGCATGATCATAGCTTCAGTTCTACTCAGTCAATCCTCACAATCTAGGGCTTCCTGGAACGGTCTCTGCGAGAGGAAGAAAATGAGGTCGATCATGATAGCCAGCACACCGTCTATCTAGCGCTAGATTGCAGCGACAGTACGAAAAATGCCCCAAATGCGTCCAATTGCGTCCCGCTCCAGATATTTCATTCTACTCGATCGTGGAGTTCCAATTTTTTGCTGTGTACTCTTGACAATATCAACAGTGAAACCCGTGCAAATTCGAGTAAACCAGCGTGACGAAAAGTCTCAAAAATCTCAATACTAAAGTTGCACTGCACGCTTTTGAAATTGCCGCGATCGCGGCTCAACTTACGAGTGATTTATCTCGGGAACCGTTGCTCGCAGCGCTTCGCGGATTGTTTCTCCCGACAGGTGAGAGTTTTCTCTTCGCCCTGGATATTTCGATCGATGGATTTGAGCGAGATTGGACTGAGTTACGATCTTTTGAAGTTTTGCATTTGAATGCGTCGTTTACGACGCATTCAAGTATGGGGCGGCTCTTAAAGGGTTAAGCCGCACTTTAAACACCAGTATTTCACCCAAAAAAGTCTTAGTGCGGCTTTTACTAAGATTGACAAATGGATGGTGGTAAATAGGGTAGATGTCTGTCTTTCATGACAAAAAAATCTGGGTACGGCTTGTACTCCAGAAACTATGGTACTTACCAGTGGATCATAGCACCCGTCCCATTGCGCGAAATCGCGCATCTATGAGCGACATCCACATAAACTGCTGGGACCATGGTTGTGTACTCGAAACTCATTCTGAGCACCCTTTTTTCTTCATTTAATCAGCCGTTTTTTTGCAAAGAGTCCTCGATTTTTTTGATCGATCGTTCTTCGAGGAAAGTGAACAATCGATCAACTGGGCTGAGGACGAATGCGTCTGGTTGGAGTTCTTGCGTGGCACAGGATGACCAGACACACATATAGATACATTGTGACGATCCGATCTACACAGCGTTTCCTAATACCGCACGCACGACGGTAAGTACAATTCATGTGATTTCAAATTGTTTGTGATCTGCAACGTCGCGAGCAGAACGGAAATACAGCAACAGCACGACAACCGTTATACCAGGCAGTAACCAACAGTCACCTCCATCACATTCTCCAGATCAGACGGCAAGCGAGGCAGTGAACATGAAGAAATAAAGTATGAAAGAATGAAAAGTCAATAATTCAAAAAATCTCAGAAACGTTGAACGTAAAAAAAACACTGAAAACAAGGAAAGTGACTTACTTTGATGGCAAAACACAAAGTGAATGTTCCGGGCTCGTATGAACCTGGCTCTTGCAGAATCAGCCACACAGTGGAACCCTGTGTTTGATTCCACAAGCGATGGCTACCTGCTCCTCACCGACCAGCCTCCATGACGGTGGTAAAGTCACCAAAAATACGAAATTTGAACATATTGTGCATGCATGCAATAGAAAATGTGTGCTGAGTACGTCGAGTGGCCATTCCAAAAGTACAAAGCCATTGCGCAAGCTGCGACGCTGAAATCTCGTCCAATGGTAGGCAGGGCGACCCAGAGCTGGAAAGTGTAAGCGATGGCATGCTACACTCCCCCGTATGCCCTTGACAGTACGATTTGAGGCATGGAGTAGTGATATACCAGTATCTTACTACTCCCTGATACCAAATGCATGGGCGTCTTCATCTTCATCCCGCAGATCGAAAATGTGCAGGTGTCGCGTGATTTCGCGCAATGATTTGTCGCGCCCTTATAACCATTTTGAGGGGGTGATAGTAGGGGTAGAGGTGGGGGGGGGGGGGGGAGGGGGGCTGCCATACACAGGTTACACTGTATCTCGAGAGCTGGAAATACCACCCTAGACTTACTCTTCAGAACATTTATACTTGAAGGCCGTCCAGTTCTGTTTATGAAGTTGCTTCTCCAGAAGACTTGCTGATTCTCGTACCCTTCTTTGCTCTAAGTCTCTATTCATTCTTTTCCTTGCTAACCTTCCTAATCATTACTTGGCCAGAGAGCTTTCCAAGGACTTTGGTATTTTTTGCTTAGAAGCTCTCCTCCATCCGTTCATTCTACATGTATGTGCGATGTGTGTTGTGTTCCTGCTCACTCAGGCCAATACTGCGAGACTCGGCTGCTCACGTGCCGCACAGTGCGTTACTTTGGCAACACGACGTGCCCGCCCGATCGCACATGCCCGACCGGAGTGGTCAGCACCACGTGGGGATTGGAGAATGTCTGTCAGGACATACAACTCTGTCCCAACAGTCCTGAACAGGTACAACTCACCGTTTTGTTCTGTTACCATCTGATATGACATGAGTTACTACTTATCAAGCAGCAGTCTCTTCGTCAGCCTGTTTGAGACACTCGCTTCAAGTAATGTGCAAGCTTTACGGGAGACCTGGAACAGCTTTATGAGTGAGACTATTGTGCTCACTATTTTATCTGACATATCATTGTTGTCCTGTTTTTGTTGATGTAGAACCCAGTCGTCCTTCGCTACGAAGCCAACGTGGTCCTGCTTGTGTCGCAGAACAATGCCTCGGCCATCACCAACCAAGACATTCATCTATTTGAGGTACGCCGCGCACAAGCACTTCACACCGCACGCCGCACACATCACACTACAATGACTGCGTTGCACTTCAGTCAGTATTGATTGGACAAGACCATCACCTCTCAGCCTGCCATATAGAGCGGTTTCACATCAGTTTGTCATGTGACTAAATTTGTGCAGAACGTGATCATGGCATGTAAACAGTGGAGCCAACATGGCCGACATCACATGACCCATAGTGCAGGGGTTGAGTGGAGTTGGAATCAACATGGCTGTCCTGTATGGTCATGTGATAGATATGAAACCACTCCCGGATGATACATATTTCCAGGGCAAAGGCATTGCAATACCATGTGTTTACTGAGTTGGACACAAATCAAGTATGCCAGGGTGTTCACATGCGCACAGCTTCACACTCGACTCGTCACAATTGTGTGGCAACCGATTCGTTAGCAGCAGCATTTTTTCTGGATTTGATGTGTTTGCTCAGATCTCCTATGGTTTGTTTAGCTACGCCGTGTAATGTCTAAGTACTCCCTGTGTGTGTGTGTGTGTGTGTGTGTGTGTGTGTGTCTCTCTCTCTCTCTCTCTCTCTCTCTCTCTCTCTCTCTCTCTCTCTCTCTCTCTCTCTCTCTCTCTCCTCTCTCTCTCTCTCTCTCCCTCTCTCTCCCTCTTTGTCTCTATGATACACATGCTTGCACTCACTAGGTCAACGCAGAGGGCTATGCCAACTGCGACATCACCGGAGGGCGTCCGATCACACCCCAGCCAACACAGGTGTACCCGGTCGTAGTGGAGGGCCTGACTCCCGGTCTGCACTACCTGATATCGGTGCGGGACCCTAACCTGCCGCAGCTGGAGTGCGAGAGAGGATGGCGACAGCGTGTGAACGTGTCCGGCCAGTGCATGTAAGTGAACACCGTCATAACCATTAAAAAAAAATGCTATTGTGGTGGAGAGGGGGAGGGGGGGGGGGGGGGTTGTCAAAATACTGTGAAACTTCAATACTGTAAGTGAACAAATATTCGACGCATATTTATTTTCGGCTATTTTTGACCTGGCCATGTTTGGCCGAAAAAAATTTGCTGCCGAAATTTTGTTTTACAAGGTTCGGTGTGACAGTATAATTATGCAAGCGGAAGCAGTATAGGCCGAACATTTTGATGCGGCCGAAATGGGTTTTAGTCCTGGAGGCCGAAATTTGAATGGGCCGAATATTTGTGGACTTACAGTAACACACCTGCATATGTATAGCCTAGGTACGGTATACCCAATGTCTGATGGCTGGTAACCTTTGAAGCAGCAAAATGCTGGGTCCTCGCGCTTAAGGGTGGTCGCGACAAGGGGCTTTGACACGGAGGCAAAGTCGCCGATACAAAGCGGTGGTAGTGTAGTGTCTGCCAACTTGCACGTGTCTGAAGCACTTTGAACTTTTATCAGAAAGTGTTACAAGCTGACAGCACTATTGGGAGGAATACAAGCTCTTAGGCTTCACAACTCTTTACTTCACAATTCCACACAGAACTGGAAGAGAAGCATGGGATTATATAGGCCAGAGAGTGCAGATAGGCTGGTGGTGAGAGCAAGGAAAGCAGTAGGGCAACAGGACTAGAAACAGTGTGGGAGGAAGAATGGATCTAAGGAGCGAGCAACAGTTACGCAACACGAGCAACCATTTCACAACAGGAATGACATCTAAAACTGTGTAGGGAAAGGTAGGTGAATTGTAGGGCGCGCAATTGGGCGTGATGGATACCGGGAAACACAGCTGTTCCAAGAAGCATGTGGATACTACAGTAGCACCCACAGAAATCCAAGAATGCGCCGGGACATCAGCCTTTGATTGCGGCTCAGAGCAAGACACAATCGCGGCGACCTTGGCAGGAGCAGTGTGCACTCCCTTGTCGCACACAATGTGGCCGAGGAACTCACCTTCGGGACGGAAAAGAAAGTGCTTTGACAGCTACAGGCGGAGCTTGGTGGAGCATAGTCAGGAGAACATCTGTCTGAGATGGCAGAGGTGCTCTTGACAGGTCCTGGCGAACACGCTAATGTCATCGAGATAGACGAGGCATATCTACCATTGCAAACCACGGAGTACAGCACCCATGACGCCCTAATTGTTCCGTACACTCCGGTCTTCTTGGCCTCCAGGTATTCAGGCAGCTCAACGCTAGAACACAAGTTCTCCATGTGTACGTTGTCGCCTTTGTCGAAATATAATGGAATTAATAAATGGACAACTACGACACCAGATTTGCCGACTTTCTCAACTAAGCCAGGCTGATAGGCATGACCGTCTCGGCCAATATAAACAAAAAAGTTTGACTCAACTTCGGGGCAGAAAAGGAAGCACTTTGACGGGTTCAGACCGTCTTAGACTGCTGAGGTGCTCTTGAAAGATCCTGGCGAACACGATATTGCCATCACAATAGACGAGGCATCCAGCTCAGTCGGTAGAGCATGAGACTCTTAATCTCAGGGTCGTGTGGTTCAGAACCGCTATTTGGAGCCAAATGTTAACTCCGGGCTTCGCTCAGTCGATAGAGCAAGAGGGAACAGGTAACAAGTAGCATCTAGCATGAAACCAAGATGCAGGGAACTGATCTGGAATTGATCGGTAGGAAACTCATCTGTCGGAAACTAAGAACGCAGCAGCTTTTATAGGGTGAGAACGTAGAGCAGAGAGAAGTATGAAGAGAGGGCAACTAGGTACGTGTGTGGGCAGAAGAAAGCAGGAGAACAGCAGGACAAGGACCAGTGTAGGGGGAAGAATGGACCTAAGTCGCGAGCAACTGGTGGGGCAACAGGAATGATATCTATTATGCCATTGCCACCCACGGAGTACAGCACCCATGAGGAGCTGGAAGGAACTTGGACCATTACAGACTCCAAATGCCATGACGTTAAAGTGATAGTGGCCATCTGGCGTGGAGAAAGCAGTTTTCTCGCGGTCAGCGACGTTCATGGGCAACTGATGGTAGGCAGAGCAAAGGTCAAGCGTGGAGAAGTAGCGGGCTCCACCCAGAGCATCTAACGTATCATCGACCCGAGGCAATGAGTACGGATCCTTTACCGTGACATCGTTCAGACGGCGATAGTCGACACAAAAAAACATCGACACGTTCTTCTTGGCGACTAGGACTATTAGAGCTGACCAAGGACTAGTGGACTCTTCAATAACCCCTTGATCGAGCATGTCAGGCACAATACGGCGAGCTGTCTCTCGAGACGCCCAAGGCAGCTTGCGGGCAGGCAGAGAGACAGGACGAGCAGTCCCAGCGTCAATCGAATGACTCATGAGGCGGGTACAGCCTCTAACTCCTGGGAGTTAAGAATGGTCATTGCGGAGCACAGTGGTCACAGCACCTTATGTTGTGGCTGTTCAATAGACCAATCCCGAAAAGATTGTCTGGGTTCGAAAGGGGGCATGTCAACTGAGAGTACACTGTACAACACATACATGGCACTACCTGATCAGCATGCGGCACAGGACGTGTTTGATAGTTCGCGTGTGAATGCGAGGGTAAGTACACGGCTTTCTCGTTAGTTGCATGCAAGAGAGACGATGCGACAGAAAGCAAAGCCCTTTGTAGTTTTCTCTCTCGCACTGGTAATGGTCTGCTGTTGGAGTTGAAATGCTAAGACATAATCCTTGTTTTGCTCTTCTGTGTAGTGCGAAGAGGTCAACGAACATGTAGAGCTCACTTTGATGAAGTAGGCAAGGCTGTGAGCGCTGTGGCTCAAAGCGATAGGCCCTAAATCTTACGAGATATTTCGAGTGCTATTGTTTGTTGCGAGCGCTTCGTCTTCGATGAGTTCTGCCTCTTTCCTGGCAGCTGCCCTCCTATAGGACCAACCACGAAGTGACTGTACTCATCTGCAGCCGATCAGTGTTATATTGTACAAGAAGATATCGTTTTCGCCAAGCCAGTGCCCCGCCAAAGACCATCGCCGTGTCACACCGTCGGAACGAGTTCATGATGAGAAACATCATTCGCGCGAGCGTGATGAAGAACTATTTCGAAAGACAACATAGTCTTTACCCCCAAGACGACAACTATGCGCACGTCCTGCAAGGGGAGAATGTCACCAGCGACATCAACGAAGACGACGGCAGTATTTCGGAAACCTGGAGTCAGCGGAGGTCGTCAAGCTCCTCCGCGACCCGGTACATGTACAATAGGTGACATGTCGACACGAGCTTGCGGCAACACAGCATACACTGTAGTAATATTGCGAGAGTTTGCGGAAGGAGTCCAAGTCGGGAAATCCATCAGCTCCAAAAGCTACCTGTAGGTGGGCGATGAGAGTCCAGCTTCAGACTACAACAGTCAGGACTTGTAAATACTAAAATAGTTGAACTTTGTGAAGCGGCAGATCGAGTTAGTTAGCTGAAATCGTAGCCTGTTGCAGTATGTCGGCGCTAGGTAGCTTGCATTTTTTACGGAGAGTCCATCGCCACGCGAATGTTTCTCTCCTCACCGAGAGCTTGCTGGCCTCCAAACTCCGTCAGGGTCTGCCTAAGGTACCGAAGGTCCTTTGACTAGCTGCTGGCAGGACTCCATCAAATCCTTTAGCTTCAGCTCGGCGAGCAAAAGTCTCTCTCTCCTCCGCCATGAGCTGACACACACAAACTGAATACAAAACGATGCACTTCACACGTGCTGGCTTGCACGCGTGCCCCCTTTCACGAACCCAGACAATCTTTTCGGGATTGGTCTATTGCCTCTCCAGTGCGTATCACCTATAAGATTGGCGGCTATAGTCATCAACTTCCTAAATTCATTTTCATTTGCCTTAACTATATGTAAGTACACAACAGAGAGGTTCCAGGCTGTCCAAGAGAGGTTCTAGGCTGTCCAAGAGAGGTTCTAGGCTGTCCAAGAGAGGTTCTAGGCTGTCCAAGAGAGGTTCCAGGCTGTCCAAGAGAGTGCTCAATACCGAGTGGTAGAGCTGGTTCAAACAATAGGAGTGCAGAGAAATGTTTTACTCCGAGTTTCACGCACTAAGCGATCATCAGAAAACAGTAATGAGAAATCTGGATCGGTATTGGTTTATATACTCACAAAGCAAAGTGTAAATAGCTGCATCATGGCGCAAATCTATAAGTTGTGAATGGCGGCAGTGCAAAGCGTAAATGACTGCATCATGGGACAAATCTAAAAGTGTGAATGGCAGCAGTGGTGAAAGGTGACAACCACTGGAGCCGGTTGTCTCTTGCTTAATTAGGTGATGGCTGTGGATGGTTTGAAGTTCCGAAGGTAGTACTTATTCTCGTGGCGACACTTTGACACAAGCTCACTCCTTTTGTTGAGAGATAGGTGCTTGTGTGCTTGCGCGATTGCCAATTTTTCCGCCAGGCACATGTTGCACCTTTTGCTTTTGTTGCTGTAGGCTGCTGCTCTGCGATGTACCGCCCATTGAATGCTGCATGCCTTCCCTTCATCCTTCTTGGC